GGGCTGCCTGAGGAAAGGAGCAAGAAGATTTTCATTTATGGCAACTTATATTTAGCTTAACTTATTTTGCGGTTACTGCTAGATTTACATTCGTATTTGGTATGTATTAAGATGCATCAATTAGTAGTACTTAATATTGGTGAAGAAGTACATGAAGTGGAGAAAATGAGGGAACGGAAGCAGCAGCATTTCCAGGCTCTCTCTCTCTCTCTCACACACACACACACACATGCACTCTTTTTTATATTTTCATTTCATGGGTTTAGTATATAATGCATATTAGACATCGCTTATAAGAATTTTGGTGCCTTTTTTCTAATGCATATAGGTCATGTCTGGGTAGCAAATTGGTCTCTCGTCTAACAGGGTACATAAGTACTTTGTTATCATTTCTGTTTTGGATTAATAAAGTGGTCCCACTACTTTGGGTTCCTCCCGGCGCATTAAAAATTTGGGGAGGGGGTTTTGGAATTATAGATGGTGCATTAACAATTTTGGAATTATAGATGGCTCAAAGTCTCTTCATGTTTTCATTAATTTCATCACTTTTATTCCATATATAGCAGCAAACCCGTCCATAGGTGTATTAATTTCCCAGCGAATTAATCAAGAAAAAAAGGCACTAAATTCTAAAGCTTTTGGGTATTAGTTTCTTCAAATTGATCGAATAAACAGAAAAACCATCATAGTATCACAGATTACTCCAAGTGATGATGATTATACGGCGAGCTTCCACCACTAGGCTCCTCCTCCCCTTCACCACCGCCGTCCCCACTTCCATCCAGCTCTACCCTTTTTATTCGAACCCATTTTTTCCTTCCTCCATTAAATCTACCACTTCATTTCAACGAGGAACGGGATACCCGTTAGAGGCCCAATTAAACGATGTTGTTTTGTACTTCAGAGATTGGTTCATGTCCCGAAACAACTCGTTGCTTGATCGAATCTTCGAAACCCTTCGTGCCCATGACGAATCTGCTGCCGATTTTGCCCTTTCTCACTTCAATTTGTGTCTGTTCGAAGCCTTAGTCCTCGACGTATTAAGCTACGAGCAAAACGATACGCTTTCTTGCTTGAAATTCTTCTATTGGACTGGACGCCAGCCCGATTTCTACCATACTAGAGCCACTTTTAATGCAATTTTTAGGATTTTATCCAAGGCCAAGCTAATGTCCCTAATGCTAGACTTCCTACAGAATTATATGAAACAGAGGTATGTGCATAAAGTTAGATTTTATAACTCTTTGGTGATTGGAAATGCTGTTGCAGGCAAATCTGAGGTTGCACTGGAGCTGTTCGGTAGAATGAGGTTCCAGGGTGCGGCGCTGGACGTATTTGCATACCATGTACTATTGAATTCACTAGTCGAGGAGGGCTATTTTAATGTGGTGGAAATGATGGCGAAGCAGATTAGAGTCCGAGCAATTCAGAATGAGGTAACACATTCGATTATGATGAAGAGTTTTTGTAAGCAGAATGAGTTGGAGAGGGCTGAAAACTATCTACGAGGTCCGATGGGAGATAAAGGGATGGGATTGAGTGGGGCTGCGGTTGGTATTTTTGTGGATGCTTTGTGCAAGGATAATCAGTTTGAGAAGGCTGCATTATTGATCGAGGAGTTCCATAAAATGAATTTGGTTTCGATGGAGTATGC